ACATGGGGCAGCCGAAGTAGAGTTCATCTGTTTCAATGACACCGGCGTACAGAAGGGATACCGTGGTCAGCACTATGTCCAACTGCCTTTGTTCTCCTAACATGAGTTAGGTACCCATCAAAGCTGGGTGGACTAACAAACGTCTTACAGGCTTGAGCCCGGGATTCGAACTCGGGACTTTCGTGTTAGCTGTTGTAAGCTCTACCATCCGACCACGCCGTTCAGCAATCCCACTTTAAATGTGATAAAAACATCCTATTTTAACAAAAGCATACCAATATGCGCATGTTGTTAGACTGTTTCGACTTTGATCAGTTTAACTATTTAATTCAGTTTCAAGTAGATGTTCAATCAAAATTTTTAAAAATTAAAAATGTGTAAAAATAACCGAGGTTGATTCCCTTTATCAAATGTTGACTTGACAAGGGGAAATAATCAGAGACGACTCCGTCAAAAACAGGGGAAGCGTTCGTGACGCGGTGTTACTATATTTAGTATCTGAGTCCTTTACTTGAATAGAAGAGTGCGAGAAATTAACGAATCAAAACGCTTTGTGACAATTAAGGGCCTAGTCAGACATGACGCAGAAGTCGGAATGCGTGTGTGTGTTTGTCTGTGTGTGTGCGTGTGTGTAAAAAAGGAAAGTGTGTGGGGTGGTCACGTGATTTTTTTTTAAAAAAGGGGGGGGGGGGAAGAGACAGAAGATTAACCGGGGGGGGGGGGCTCGATTTTAAATTGTTGGCCAAGCCATTATATTATTTTTTTTTTTTATTCGGGTCTTTTTAAAGTACAGCGACCGAAATATGAAAAGTGAGAGGCAGCCAGAAAAAATTACCCCGCCATCTTGAAATTGTGCCCAACAGAGTTGCCAAGTTGGCAAATTATTTAAACAGATTAGACAATTTTCTGGAATAATTATTTTGATGTCGGTTTTAATTTTTTTTTTAAAATAGCTGACAACCGCCCACCAGGTAGGTGGTGAGGAATTAAGGGTAAGATAGAATGATATTGATATTGGTAGCCGCTTTTGTCCTGTGGAGGGGAGGGGCAGAAATGCTTCCCCCACCCCCTTTCAGATGAATATAACTTGTATATAAAATGAGATCTTGTCCAGATAAGCTCCGCCACTTATGCAAAAAGCGCTAGAGCAAAAAGTTAAGCGCCCGCCGCATGTAAGACTGTTATTTCTGAGGTCTAGACATTTGAATATTACAACGCACGTCATAAAAAAACTTCTTATCCGCCTCTAGGGTTAGGGTTGGGGTTAGGTTGGGGTTAGAGTTGGGGTTGGGGTTAGGGTTGGGGTTAGGTTGGGTTTAGGGTTGGGGTTAGGGTTGGGTTTAGGGTTGGGGTCAGGGTTTGAGGTAACAAAATACAGACCTTTCCAAGCAAATTATGAATAATATGTTCCGATTTCACCCTCTTCAATTAGATCTAAAAGTACACGTTTCATATCAATTTTTATTTTATTTTTTATTATTTTTGCGTTTGGGGTTAACCTTTCAGTGGGGGCTCATCAGGACAAAATCCTTAATATGTATACTTTATCCCCACTCCCGGAAATTTTAAAGTGCGCGCCTTTGAAGTTTCAAGTTCCTGCTACCCGCCCCTCCCCCTCACCATTCCCGAATAAAAAAATATCTAAAAGAAACCCTTAGGTAGTGTGGTATATGTAATAAGTATTAATTAGATGCAAAAAATTGTACTAGTCACCTCACAATGTAAGGTTTCGACCTCAGGCATTCGTCAGCACATAACTGCGTGGTTAAGTTGAAAGGGGGGGGGGGGGGTGAAGCTGGGAGGGGGGCGTGGTCGAGCGAAAACCTTCATGTCAAAGCCAGGCTTAATGCCCAACCATTGCGTCAGTGGTTCATGTGATGGCGTCAGTGATATATGTGATGGCGTCAGTGGTTCATGTGATGGCGTCAGTGATTCATGTGATGGCGTCAGTGATTCATTTGATGGCGTCAGTGATTCATTTGATGGCGTCAGTGATTCATGTGATGGCGTCAGTGGTTCATGTGATGGCGTCAGTGATTCATGTGATGACGTCAGTGATTCATGTGATGGCGTCAGTGATTCATGTGATGGCGTCAGTGATTCATGTGATGGCGTCAGTGATTCATTTGATGGCGTCAGCCACCCTACATGACTTGAGTCATCTATACCATAGAGTCAGAGATTCCTAAACGGCGTCAGCCACCCTACATGACTTGAGTCATCTAAACCATAGAGTCAGTAATTCCTAAACGGCGTCAGACTTCTCTTACAACTATGACTACATCAAGAAAAAAAAATTGTATTGTTTTATCATTCGCTTAACTCGGAACAACCAGTCACAATACAAGGGAAACTACTCTAAATTATCTTCACAAAACAAACCAAAATCGCTGGAGTCTAACCCCTCGAAACATTCTATCACAGTTCAAGGGACACAATTCAGATTAATGTTTACCTCCCTTAGACTCAAGATTTTTTTTTAAATACCCCAGACTATTTGTTTAAGCGTTTAGAAATCTTTTCAATCTCTTCCTGTTCGTGGCAATCAACAACAGAGAGTTGGGTCGCCTTCCCTTTACTTTATAAAAAAAAAATGCTATTGTCTGATTGAAGAGACCGAATATTAATCTAGCCGCGGACTGCTGCGGAAAAAAATACGAGTAATCGAGTTTGAATTAGTGTACGGTCTGTTTCTTTTAAGAGGGATTACTGTTGTTTTTATGCAGACTATGAAGTTGTTTTTTTTTAATATCAAATACAGATTTGTCCGTAATATGTATCGTTTGACGTAAATCGTCTTAGTGTAAGGAGTTCGTTCCGACAAATGTTTAGTGTGAAAGGTTCAGTCAAAGACAGTTCATGTTGTCTAGAGAAGAGTGTAACAAGTTCACAGAAAGAAATGCATATTACAATTCCGTGCAGTTTGACGTATATCGTTTTAGTATAAGGAGTTCATTCCGACAAATGTTTAGTGTGACAGGTTTAGTCCAAGACAGTTCATGTTGTCTAGAGAAGGGTGTAAAAAGCTCACATAAAGTTTATATTGCAATGCCCTGCAGTTTGACGAATATCGTCTTAGTATAAGGAGTTCACCCCCCCCCCCCTCCCAAATGTTTAGTGTGAAAGGGTCAGTTAAAGAAAGTTAATGTTGTCTAGAGAAGGGTGTAAAAAGTTCACAGAAAGTTTATATTACATTGCCCAGCGGTGTGAAATGATAACGTAATAAAAGTTTATCATACTTAAAATTTGATGTGAATGTTTCACTTTACTGAGAACGGTGTTAATAATGCACACTGCCAAAAAAAATTAGTCAAAGTTTCACATTACAGGTGTGAATGGTTCAAGTTACTCCAGTGAATTATTCATATTTCCAAATACATAGCTAAAGTAAGATAGTGAGTTTTATTCTAATGATAGATCTAGTTTTTAAATAAACTTCCGCTGCGAAAATTTATTTTCATATTCTCCAGAAAAAAAAAATCTTCTAGAGGTATAATAGAACTATAATATTATCAGGAATGTCGAGATCTATATCAGCAGCAAAGTTACTTTAATTGTAAGTCTTGCTGTAAGTAAACTTGATATAAAATAACCGAGTTTTCAAAGACATTAACTGACAACGATACGCTAAGGCACTTTGGGAGATGATATCAAACCTTAATCCTGACCGTAATCCTAGCAATCTCTAAATCCCTTAAGGTTGATTTAAACTTAGCATTTATCTCAACATTACATTAAAACAATTTCTAAGTCTTTTGTCTTAAAAAATGAATAGAAATAGAAGAAAGGTTTATTCCGCGCGTTTTTTTCTGAAGCTTCAAGTACAACCCAAATTTTAAAAAAATAACAAATCAATACAACAGTAAAGAACTTAATAAAGTTGATTATATTAAGACAAAATAGGCCTTCACATAATATAATCTATTTTATTCGATTATCAAGTTCACCTAGTGCAGACTGAATCTCCAAGCGTCTTACAAGCACAAAGTCTCCTGAGTTAAAAACACGACAGTCGATTTCGTTTATGGATAAAAGTACGGTAATCAAATTAAGAAAGAGGCACTCGCTAGTCACGAATGGGAAACAGACTGCTGGGGTAGGTCGAGTCTTCTTCAACTTCCGGGGTTTGAGAGTACCGTCTTTTTCGTAATGAAATACAAACATTCGTGACTTTATTGTCCTCAATGTGAAAACGTTCAGTGCGAAATTGTGTTGATGTGAATGTAAAAATAAAACATCTTCAATTGTTTTTTTTTTCTATTTACGTAGGCCTATCTAAAATTAAGTTAACGTTTATTGCTAGGGTTATGTAATTCACGATCTTAGGACAGCTGGGTTACGTTCGGTTTATGAACAAGTATATAGATTATATATATATATATATATATATATATATATATATATATATATATATATATATATATATATATATATATATATATATATATATATATATATATATATATATATATATATATATATATATATGTCCATTCGGCATTTGTCGCATTCGGGCATCTGTCGCGTTCGAGCAAGTGTCCATTCGGGAAATCAGCCTTCGGACAAACGGCATTTGGGCAAGTGTCTTTCGGGAATTCGTCGTAGACCCAAAAATTTCATTACAATACAGGGAATACAACAAAACCTCAACATCACAGGAAACAAATCCAAAAAACAACAAAATCTCAGCAATGCAGTAAACAAGCCTTAACACAGCACAGTCAACATACACAGGAATTATCCACAACAAACGAAACTAAAATTACAACAAGGCCTCAACATCACTTGACACAAACCCACACCGCATCACTAATTCAACATTAGCGACAAGACAACACCCCCACCCCCTACCCCCACCACACCACTAAAATTAAAACAAGACCTCAACATCACTTGACACAAACCCACACCACACCACTAATTCAACATTAGCGACAAGACAACACCCCCCACACCCCACACCCACTCCCTCACACACCACCACACCATCCATCACTCACCTCGTCCTTGTTCTCATCCCGGGACACCGACAGGGTCAAGTTCCGGGGGACGGGCGCGCCCCGGATGGTGGCCGTCTCGGCGTCCTCGATCCCCAGGTGCCGGGCCACGTCCCTGGCCGTGGCCCTGGTGGCCGTGGCCGTCAGCCCCAGAAAACACGTGACACCGTAGCGCTCGCGGAGGACCTGAGGAAGGTCAAGCCTGGTTGTTAGAACTCTGGCTGGGTCATGTCGAAGCTGTTTGCTAGTGTCGATACCCTGATCTTAAATATAACCCTAGCTTAATCACAATCCTATTTGGTAGTATCGACACTCTAACTCTAAATCTAACCCCACCCGACTATTTTCAAATTTAGTCGTTTTAATACCCTAAACCGAAAATCTAACCCTAGACGGAAGAAAATCCTGTTTGTTAGTATGGATACCCGGATCTTAAATCTAACTCTAGCTCGATTACAATCCTATTTGGTAGTATCGATACTCTAACTATAAATCTAAACCTACCCGACTATTTTCAAATTTAGTCGTTTTAATACCCTAAACCCAAAATCTAAACCTAGACCGAACAAAATCCTGTTTGTTAGTATCGATACCCTGACCATAAATCTAACCCTACTGATACTCTAAACCAGGGGTCTCCAAACTTTTCAGTCCGAGGGCCGCATTAACTATCAAATTTCAGTTCGGGGGCCAGTTTCTTCCAGGCATGTCTTTGATTTTTCTGGGCAAAGTTCCTCAGCCATCAGCAACAAACGATTTTTCCTTGGACAAAAAGATCTCTGCTCTAAACCCTGAAATCGAACCCTAGGCCGAATATCGATACCATAACCCTAAATTTAACCCCATCTCGATCACAACCCTTCTAGACAGTAACGAAACCCTAAATCTAACCCTACCCTACCATTATATTATCGTTTGCTAGTATCGATACCCTAAACCATAAATCTAACCCTAGTCCGGCCATTATCATGTTTCGTAGTATCGATATCCAGACCTTAAATAAAACACTTATCCCACGATTTATGGCACTTACCAACTGAAAGTTTAAAAAAAAAGTTTGATTAGTGCTAAAATAAGATTTTCAAAACACATGAACTAGAAACGAAAGATTAAACCAGCTTACATCGGTAACACGACGTACTTATAGGAAATGAGATTTGGACTTACGTAATGGTGTGCTACAGGGTGCAGGGGGAGGGTGGGGAGATACGATGAAAAAGGGGTGTGGGTGGAATGTAGCATAACATATACGTTGAACATTAAAGTGATATCTTAAGGAAATGACCTATATGGGAGAGAGGTGGGGGGTGGGGTTTAAAAATTCGGGCTAAAATTACGTGACGTCTATTACTTACGACCCCCAACACAACAGGAAATGACTAAAAAAAAGTATTCGCGTGTGCGTCGTTTTAATGTACTGGATGTACCCAAAAAAAAGTTACAATTTCAGTTCTTTGGTAGATACTAGTCGGGGAATAACTAGGCTACAGCTCAACACAATCGATGGTGCCAGCGGTGTCGTTCAATATCGTGTCTAGGGGGGTGCGGTTAGGGTTAGGTTGGGGGAAGGGTTCATGTTGGGAGATGGGTTGTTTAAGAGTGATGTTGATCAATGGGAGCCTATTGCCTCGTAAAGGAAAAAAAGGACGTTTTCGATTGATTCAGGTTTGTTATATTGATGGGGTAGTAGGGTAGGGGGGAGGGGGATACGGGACACAGAATTTAACTGCTACCTTTGGATAATGGTGGTTAAAATATAGGGTTAGGTGAACACTTCAAATTTCTGTTTAGATAACATGTAGAAAAAGGTGACCATTAAACTTTGAAGTCATCATATTGAAGAGGTGAGTACTTCACTGTAAATTCACCATGTTGAAAAGATGACCACTTCACATTTATGTTTAGACACCATGTTACAAAGGGGACCAAATCACTTTTACGTCACCATGTTGAAAAGGGGACTAGTTCACTTGTATGTTTAGACACCACGTTAAAAAGGTGAGCACTTACTTTACACAGCCTCAGGTACGACGGCCTGAAGTTGTGCGACCACTCCGACAGGCAGTGAGCCTCATCAATACAGGCGAAGGCGATGGGCGGCAACTTGTCCGGGGTGGGGAACGAGCCCATGGTGGCCCCGCCCCTCTCCACAATGGCCTCGGGGGAGACCAAAAGAAAATGGACGCGTCCGTCCTTGAGGTTGGTGATGACGTTGTCCCGTTGCTGTTTGGTCATGCTGGAGTGGAGGCACGCGCCGTGGACCCCGGGAGGGAGACCGGTGAT